AAACTGACAATAATAGGTTTTGCATACTGTTTGAGCTAGTAGAATGCAGTTGTGTGTATTTTCTTCCTATGCAAGTTTTAAAGAATTGGTTTTAAAGAGTTTATGGGGTAATGTAAGATCTTTTTCTTATTTGTTGAACAACCAGAGTCTGTCGTACCTGGTTTCAGAAATTGAGGATGATACTCAATTCGAGATTATTATGTAGAACTGAATGGAGAACTTCTAGTACTTTTTATTTTCAGTTTTTATTTGTATAATATTGACCTGAGTTACTACCTACCGTATAATTGTTATCTTGGCTTCGGTGTTCTTCTTGTTACTACTTGTTGTCTTTACTTCTTTCCATCCTTTCTTTAGCTGAGGGTCTATCGAAAACAACCTCTTTGCCCTTCCAGGGTAGGTGTAAGGCTGCGTGTATCTTACCCTCCCCAGACCCCACTTATGGGAATTCACTGGGTTTGTTATTGTATTATATTGACCTGAGATGAGCGTAAATGGAGCTATATGGACAGTGATGATTCATATAGCCGAATCAACCTGTTTAGGATTGACTCGTACTTCTTGCTCTTGTTGTTGTTGTTGTAATATGTACAACTGAATCAAGTGTATATTGGAAATGCCGTACTTCAAAAGGCTGTTTGTGATATTTCATTCTTTTTTATTCAGGGACCGGGTGGTATTACTATCAAAAAGACTAATATGGCTATACTTATTGGAATCTATGATGAGCCAATGACTCCTGGACAGTGTAACCTGGTTGTCGAGAGGCTCGGCGATTATCTCCTTGAACAAGGTTTTTAATTTACTGGTAAGTGTAATTCACCTTTGGTTTCCTTTGATATTTTCTGCAACATTGAATTTCTAATGAATTGCATTCCTTTGAAATGGTTGCAGAATTTTCATTCATATGTTTGTATTGAAGTTGTGGTGTTTGCTGATAATGAATGGATACTCAAGAATTGGAAAGTGGTAGATATGATTACTTTCTGGATTCAAACAGTTCTCTTTGTATTTTGGTTTTGCAAGAATTGATTTAAATTATTTTAAAGTGAGACACTCGATTATTTTTGAGTGGAATGTTATTGGTACTTATTCTTAAAAATGGATTTCACTTTTTGGTTTGTGTAATATACAGCTGCTGGATTTCATCTCTCAAAATCTTCCTCATACATGCTTAGCTTCTGTTTCTATGCATGTTATGTTATACAAAATGGTTAAACCAGTGGTG